TAAGTTTTTACAAAGCTCATTTTTATCTGAGTCAGTGCACAGTGTGTGTTGACTTTGCTATCATGAAGTATCTACTGGATATCTACAATGTGTAATGCGTTACATTAGATTATTATATATTAGATAATTTCCTAACCTTGCCGCATATCAAAATTTCCTGATTTATTATATTTCCTGTTATTTAAAATAAACTATAGATTCTGGGTCCTAACCCTAGAGTCTGTGTATGTGTGGGGTAGTGATGTTGGTATTGGAAAGAGCAGTTAGTTACATTGTTACATTTGGGATTGGGAAAAAATGACCTCAGACATAACATGGAGAATGGGTTAAAGTTGGCCAGAGCGGATATTCAGGAACTCAGAAGTCTGTTGTGGTGGTGGTGGTGGTGTTAGGTGCCATTGGGTCAGTCCCAACTTACAGTGACCCTGTGTACAACAGAACAAAACACTGCCTGGTCTTGTGCCATCCACAGTTGTTGCCATACTTGAACCCATCGTTGCAGCCACTATGTTAGTCCATCTCATTGAGGGTCTTTCCCTTTTTTGCTGACCTTCCACTTACCCAGTGTGATATCCTTCTGCAGGAACTGGTTCCTTCTAACAACACGACCAAAGTCTGAGAGATGAAGTCTGGCCATTCTTGCTTCTGAAGAACATTTCTGACTGTACTTACTCCAAGACATTTTTGTTCATTCTTCTAGAAATCCATGATAGCTTCAATATTCTTCACCAGGACCACAATTCAGAAGCATCCATTCTTCTGCGATCTTCCTTATTCATTGTGTCACTTTCACATGCATACAAAGCTATTAAAAATACCTTGGTTTGGGTCAGGCACACCATAGTCTTCAAAGGGACATCTTTGCTCTTCAACACTTCAAAGAGGTCCTTTGTAGGAGATTTGTCCAATGCAATATGTCATTTGATTTATTCACTATTACTTCCATGGACATTGATTGTGGATCCATCTAAAACAAAACCTTTGACAACTTCAATCCTTTACCCATTTATCAAGATGTTCCTTACTGATCGAGTTATGAGGATCCTTGTTTTCTTTATGTTGAGGTGTGATCCATACTGAAGGCTGTATTCTTTGATTTTCATCCATCAGTGCTTCATGTTGTGCCTTCTGCGTATCGCAGGTTGTTATGTTAACAAGTCCACCACCAGTCCTTAAGCTGCCTTCTTCATAATCCACTAAGATATGCCAATTAAATGATAGGAGGATCCATAAATGAAATGTGTGATTAGAAAGAAACACTGTCTCAGTGAAGCCCATAGAGTAGAGAGTTGAGAAGGAATAAGGTAAGTGGTAGGTACTCTCAACAAATGTTTGTTGAATGCTAGAATTAAAAGAGAACAGGAGATCATTGACATTGAAAGTTGTTATTTTTAGAATCTAATTTTTAAGAATTATTAGTATTGCAAATTTAGTGATGCAGGTGTCCTGGTTGATTTTATGTTTAATTTTTTTCTGAGTTAGGAAAATTATTTCAAGCTAACATTTTAGTTTTGCTGAACATACAGTGGAAATTATTTTAAATGCATACATATCTTTATATAATAATTTGTGGTATTTAAAACACTCTATCTGTTTTTTTTTTTTTTTTTTCCTATAGGAAAAATGAGATGTGAAGCAAGTGTTGCTGATGTCCTAGATAAAGGATCCGGTTTAGTAATTCTTATGGATGGTAACTCATTTATAGTTTTTATAATAGTGTTAGATTGATAAAATTTGTATGTAACATAATACTTCACCATAGAAGTTGATTATTAAGTTTATATTTTCTAATTTGTGTGAAGCATGTAAGCATTCTAAAAATTCATAAGCTCTTTTAGAAATACAAAGGGGTGGGAGGGGGAAGAGGGACGTTTCAGGAAATTTGAACAACATGACCAAGGCATGGACAGGAGATTTTTGGCCTCAGAAACCCAAGGAGGGGTCACTATGGGTTGGGTCCGACTCAACTGCACATAACAACAACAACAAATAGAGAATACAGAGGAGAATTATACTGTTGGAGTATGTTTTTAGCAGGAAGGAATATATAGACAGCCTTCACCAGAAGAATAGGCTATATATTACAGGTATTCTTTTCCATATTGGCTCTTTGGAACTTAGAAATATTTGACCACTGAATCACACTTATAAATGGTGGTTAGGTCTCTATTACTGATCATTCAGCTTACTTAATTCATGATGTGGTTTAAACACCATAGCCATATTTTATTTGCAGTGGAAAAAAGATGACTATAGTATTTTAATAAATGTTGAGATAATGATAAATATAAGCTAAGCTACATTGCTTAAAATTTATTTATTTTAAAATTTAAGAACAAATGAAATAAATATTTACTATACAAATTTTGGAAATAAAGAACAGATGGAAAACTTAAATTGTCTGATACTTGGAATATTGGCTTCATTGTTTTGTTCTAAATACGTAGGAGATTATACTGTATATATGTTTTTGGAACTTGACTTGTTTGAACTTAATATGCTGAGAACATTTTTGATGCTCCTAGATATTCTTCTACTGTGTTGTTTTGTTGATTTTGTAATATTTCATCATGTGTGTGTTCTTTCTTTCCCTTCCTGCTCCTTATTATCGTCCTCCTCTGTCTTCTTCACATTTTCATGTTCTTTTGTCCTTCCAGATGTTGGCCAATATTTGGCTGCATTTCTACCAGTTCTCTTTCTCACCATTCTACCATATGTAACATACTACAAAACCAAAGTTCCACAGTAACCTTAGCTTTAATTTCTACTATTCTCTCTTGGTTTACTTCATACATAAAGTGCAAGTTGCTAATTGGTCAGTGTATTAGAATTTATGGGAGCTCTTGTGGTGTAATGCTTAAGGCATTTGACTGCTAACCGTAAGGCTGGCAATTCAAGCCCACCAGCCACTCCTTGGAAGGAAGACTGGGCAATCTACTTCCGTAGAGATACCGCCTTGCAAACCCAAGGAGGGGTTGTTATGAGTCGAATCTACTCGACGACAATGAGTTACTAGAATTTATAGATAAAGCATAGATAAAATCAAATATCCAATTTCCAGTGTAATAAAGATAAATATCGTAAGTAAACTTCTACAAAATTCCTTATTTTTTGTTACACTTAGATTCTTTAGTATGAATTTCAAAATTATATTCCTTGTTTTCTAGAGCCAGATTTAAAATGGGTCTCAAACTTTTGATAGTGAATTAGTCAGGAAAAAGAGGGATAGTTGTTATGTTTTCACTTATTGTTTGCTTAGTTGCACACTCACATCATTCATTCTTTGATTCATTAAATAATTTAATAAATATTGGGTACCTTTTCTGCACTCAGTACTTTCTTTTTTTTA